TTTTATGCTTATGAGTTAACAACTTTTACATATTACAGTATTAATAAAATGAAAGAATCTAGGTCACATGTCCAAAACATGATTGAATGTCACTTCAATTAATCCCGTCTTATTTACAACATAAATATTAAAATTTTATTTTTTATTATTCTTTGATGGGTAAAAAATTATCAACAAATTTTTTGTTCCGTTTCGAAAAAAGAACACGATAAATAGACTGTGAGCTAAGTCTATTTCGTAACAAAGTAATTTGTTGTCCTGCATCAGAGAAAAGTCTTTCCGAAGGAACTGATGAAGAAGGAATTGCCCAAATATTTTTTGGCTAAAATAGCAAGTATTGGGAATTTTTTTTCATTTATCACATCACTATTTTAATGGTTTATTTTCTAAAATTTAAAATTGCTTCAAATATTACTATATTATTATTATTATTAGTATTGTTGTTGCTATTATTATCATTCATTACTACTACTGCTGTTAATTTATTTGATTTTTGTATAATCGTCATATTCGTCTTATTGAGTTGGTTATTATTATAAATGAATAGGTAAACTAGAACAACTTTGTTATTATTATAACAAAAAATTCATTTTATCTAGTTACGTCTTATCGAGTTCCGACTGGATTAATAATTAGTCAATTTATTTATTATATTTTTTGTTGGTGACCATTGTCTAAGTTTTAATACTGTTTTGCATGGTGCAGGTCTTGTGACTCCAAAAAAATAATCAAAAAGTCATTGAGCAGCAGCAATAATGAGATTGACGAGTTGATAAAAGAAAGTGTTTTAAGTGCAACTTGATATAAAAACTATCTTGAGTGGATTCCATATGAGAAGTTTGGAAATGGTTTTGCAACAACGTACACTGTCACTTGGTTGGATGGCAAATAAAAATAAGAATCTTAAAACACGTATGGGACCAGTAACAGTACTGTTGAAAAGCCTAAATAAAGAAAAATTTGTTACAGAAAATTTGATAAAGATAAACATTATCAAATTTTTTGATTCTTAATTGACCAACTAATTTTTAACAATTCCCGCGAATATATATTTATGCTTTACTCTCACAACTAACTTTTACTATCATTAAACAATTTCTTATACTAAGAAATACTAAACAATATCTTCTTTAGATTTTACGCTATGTATCCTGATCACGTTTCTTGGTGGATGTTCTTCTAGCCGTTTTCCTTTTTGCTACCAAGTCAGGTACGCCTCCAAAATTACAAATAAAGTTTATTAAATATTACCTCACTAAAAGAAAAGAAAAGAAACAAAAAATAATAAAAATAATAGAGACAAATATAAAATAATTATGCACGGGATTAGTATGAATCATTGTTAGAGATAGATTTTATTATCATTACGAAAATATAATATTCGAAGACAACAAGATCAAGGACAAGGACAAAGGATAGTGTTATTTATTATGATGATTAAAAGATGACTAATTAATGATTATGATGATACATGAAGTTGAGAAAATTACAACGTTGTTAAAGGTTCTATCGTCTAGTTCTCCAATTTCTTTGACATCCTAATTTATTCTAATTAAATGTATTACTTGAACCTTCTGTGTAGAATTATTTTCTAAAGTGATCCAAGGGTTATAGTCGTGTCCTTCTCATTTTTGATATTCACTTATTATTTTCTGATGTTCTTCATAGTAATTCACTAACTCATATTCCTCGATTAAAGAAACTAATCATTTAAATTAAATCTAAGAATTAAAGGTCTGTTCCATTTTAGAATGTTAGAATATTTATTTCTCCGTTGTTTGGGATATTTTCCGTGAGTCATTTATTTTATTGGTGATTGAATAAAAATATGAAATTGGACTGGTTTGAATACTTGATCAAGTTTTTCCGATTTTATTTGCGGTAAATCATTTCCGATTTATTTATTGATTTCCCGTGATATGTAAAATTATTATTTTACAACGGGTCTGGGTCACTTTACCGACACCCACTTTACCAACAAGACACTTTATCGACAATCAAGCAAGGTTTCTAGCCCAAACTTTTTCTATTATTTTGGCAATTTGGGCTTTTCAACGTTTTTTATATAATAAGGGTGCGAGTTTAACATTCCAAATCATTACTCTTTTTTTTTCATAAAAATTCAAGAAATTATGTTTAAAAGTATTCAAATGCGAGAGAAAAGATTTATTTATTTTATTTATTTAATAAATTCATCGCAATTATAATAAATCAATAAATGTTAATAAATAACTTTAATAAAAACAATTAGAAAATAACACACAAAGTCCGAATATGCAACTTTTATCAATTCGTCAGACAAAAAAAAATATTACACATGTATCTATATTGTATTTTTACGGACCGGGTTTTGATGCAAAGTAAGGATAATAAGTTGTGTTATAAGTTAATGATTTGTAGGGCAAGATCAGTACTCGATCAACAGTTGATTTAGCTTGTCTGTAGAAAACCAAACTTTTAGCTTCTACATAGAGTTATCTAAGTCTTCACACAGTCCTTGGCAAATTGTTAACACAATGCTTATTGGTAAAGTGATTGTAGGTAAAGTGGACAGGACCCATGAAAAAATATTCAAAAAAATTGTTGCACGATTATTTATTTATTATTGGAGGCAATTTTTTTATTTATAATACAAAACCAACCATAATCAGTGTTGTACACGGGATTGTCCAAAGATGTCCGCGTGACAATTTGTCGCGCGATCATTTCCTTAAATGTCCTCGTATACGTTATTAATTAATATCCATTATAGAGATAGTGTTTAAAACACAAATGTAAGATTATACAAGAAACACACAAATGTGTTTAATTTAAAGTACAGAATTGTATTAAAAGCTCAATAATGTGTGTGTTGAAGTCACGAAAGAATGTATAAAACATAATACAGTTCCTCTTGTTTTATTAGATTAAGGTACATTCATGAAAAGAATTATACTCATCATGACTTGCAATCAAGATTTTTATTACGAATAGGAGATTTAGGATTATGTCAACAATTAATAGATAAAAATGAGAATCCAAATGAAATCTTTGGAGTCATTTCATACCTGGCACTTGATTGGCCCAAGTACAATCTCATAATATTGCCAATGATGATGATGGTGTTGTTGTTGTCAAAGGTTATAACCGGTAGTGCAGGTGTTGTTGGTAGTGATGATGTTAATGACAGTGGTGTGTGTAATGGTTTTATAATTTATTATTATTATTATTATTAAATGAATAATATTTAAGTTTTTTTTTAATCCAGTTGGTATAGTCACTGAATTTCCTGCACTATAATAATGAATATTTGTGCTGTAGAATAACGGAGGTTATATCTGCTTTTTATATATATATGGTTTACCTCGGTGCCAAATATGACACAACACCATAAATTTCATTTGGACTATCTTTTTTCATTTAATTGTTGACATAATCCTAAATCATCTATTCTACTAGAACCTTTAGTATACCATTATGTAAGTCTTGATGAATGTAATTTTCTTACGAACATTCGTTGATCTAAAATATAATAATAAAATACCATATTTTGTATATATATATATATATATATATATAACAAGTATTATTTATATATCAAATGAAAATGAAAATTACTTACCTTGTGAACTACAGTTCACCTCTATAACGAACACTAAGTAAATTTCACTTGGATTTTGTCCCCGATTCAATTTTTTATAATTAACTTCTCTCTCTATAACGAACAAAAGCAGAAAAATTACAGATAGAGACGGAAGGTTCGTTATAGAGGGAGTGAACTTTGTATATAGAATAAATAATTATGTAAATCTCATTTTCAGCAGTCAAAGTGATCATTTGTTTCTGGATCCCTTGTAACTCCAAAATATTTGACAACAGAGGATAATTGGCTTTTAACTATTAAATAAATAAATTTTACCATTATTATTTTATATATTTAATGATTTAAAATCAATTAATAATTATTTACCTCCTAATTTTTTTAATACAATTATTTTTTTCTTCGTAATTCTTATTACAGTATTAATAATTAGTAATTTTAAATTTATGTGATCACACTTCCTTTTTTTTATTTTGCTTTCATAAGAAATTTTACCAATTCTTTTTTTCCTTTACAATCATTACATAATATTCATTCCATGTTTCAAAAGCTAATTTATTAATTGTTTTATTACTTTTATTCATTTAAAGGTTAAAAAATTTCAAATATCCAAGAATGACACTAACCTCGTTATCATGAACCATTTCCTTTAGGCCGATTCATCAGATATGAATGATTTTGAAATATTTTTAATAATAAAAAACCTTCTAACCATTCGTTTATTTTAAAAAAATTATATTAGTAAAAATGTCATCATCCAAGGAATTTCAACCAATTAAAATTTTACATTATCTCGATTTAGAATAATCAAAATTTATTTATTATCTTTATTTATTCAAAAAATCCCAAGAAAAAATTTTAACTTGAAATAAAATTATATTTTAAAGAAAAAAAAAAAATGGCAACTACAGTAAATAGTAATAATAATAGTAATAGTAATTTTCAACACAATCCACCTAGTGTTTATCAACCTAATCCATATCCATTAAATCCACTGGAAGGTAATCCTTTGTCTGCGACGCCTACTGAACAACCATACACTTCAACTTATCAACATCCTACAAAACCTCAAGACTCTTCCACTTCTTCTTCCTCTTCATATAATTATCAGCATGGATATAATAATAGTAGTTCTGACGACTCATCATATCAATCAGCTCCAACATCCATGCCCGTGCCAAATTCTTATTTTCCAGCCAGTAACCTTTCAACAGCACCGCCACCAATGCCACCGCCACCACTTCATCACAATCAACATCACCGTCAAGAAACACACGAGGATGGTGACGATGGTAGGGATGATGATAGTGAAAGAGGAACAGGAAACACATTTGATTTGGGAGATTCTTTCACAGCAAATCCTGGAATAACAGGTCATGACCCATCAAAATTGAATACGAATTTGGATGATTATAACACACGTAAAAGACCTAGTATATATCGATTTATTGCAAGATTTATTCAATTAATAGCAAATATTGGAACTTTTGTCTTTATACTTTGCGCACCTATCGTAAGTTTTTTTATTAATCAATCGATCAATCAATCAATTAATTAATAATAGAAGTTTAGAAAATTAATTAATTCCTTAAATTTTTGTTTGTTTCCTTTTTCATAAAAAAAGTATTCAAAACAAGGCAAACCGGATTTCATTCCACAAAATTTAGTCGTTGGCATATATATTGTCTCAATTGTATCAATATTGGTATCACTTGGCTATTTGATGTTTTACGGTGTTAGAAGATTTCGTACCAAGACTAAAAAGCTTTCTCGTTGGATCTTGCTTTTAGTTGATGGTATTTTTGGAGCAAGTTATGGATTGTTGATGGTATTTTCAATAAAAGATACTAGATGTGGAATTGGTCAAGAAAATGGATGGTAATTATTATATAATGATAATGGGGGCGGGGGAGTTTTTTTTGGGAAGCTGTATATTGTTTTATTTGATTATATTACTAACTAATTTTTGTTTTAGGTGTGATTTTTATAATACAGCAATTTTCTTTATCGTTTTTTCATTTGTTATGTTTGCATTGGCTTTCATTTGGGATTTTACTGGAAGTTTTGTAATACTTAGTGAGACAAGAAAAACCAAGAAGAGAAATAAACTTATTGCTAAAAGTAAAAATGATAAGGATAAGGAGGGTAATGATAATAATGATCATTAATAAAGTTGATGGGATTGAGGATGTTGTAAATATTATAAAGAAAATTTAATTATTATTAATTAGTTAGTTTCATTAATATATTATATAAAACATTTAATTTAATATCTATGTTATTAATTTACTACCATTGTATCAATAGTTGGTGTGGAAAAATCATTTTTCTCTATTTCTTTGTTTTTTTAATTAGCATTTTTGTTTTGTAATGACACAGTTAAAAAAAAATTTATAAAACTTGTCAATTTCTTATTAAAATAATGAAGTTTTGGAAGTTAACGATGTTTGATAACGTTTGAATAATTATGACGAATATTTGTCACGTTAATAATTTTAATTGGATCTTTTAAATTTTAACAATAGCAATG